ACATAACCTAGATCGGGAGTTCCGCTGCCGCAAGCCTCTGTAGCCACCAAAAACCAATCGGGACCCTGTTCTGGCACCCTATCGGAGGGGGGATCCCTCACCTGTGGCCATCTTCATCATCCCAACGCTCTCCATGACGAGGAGGGAGTAGTTCACCCTCGGGGCTGAGGGTATGTACCAGTAGCTATGTGTTTGATCTCTCTCTCTCTCTCTCTCTCTCTCTCTCTCTCTCTCTCGTGGTCTTGATTTGGCACAATCTTGATGTATCGCAAGCTTTGCTATTATAGTTGGATCTTATTTTCTCCCTCTCCACTCTCTTGTAATGGATTGAGTTTTCCCTTTGAAGTTATCTTATCGGATTGAGTCTTTAAGGATTTGAGAACACTTGATGTATGTCTTGCATGTGCTTATCTGTGGTGACAATGGGATATTCACGTGATCTACTTGATGTATGTTTTGGTGATCAACTTGCGGATTCAGTGACCTTGTGAACTTATGCATAGGGGTTGGTACACGTTTTCGTCTTGACTCTCCGCTAGAAACTTTGGGGCACTTTTTGAAGTTCTTTGTGTTGGTTGAATAGATGAATCTGAGATTGTGTCATCATATCATATAATCATACCCACGGATACTTGCGGTGACATTGAAGTATCTAGGTGACATTAGGGTTTTGGTTGATTTGTGTCTTAAGGTGATATTCTAGTACGAACTCTAGGATAGATCAAACGGAAAGAATAGCTTCGTGTTATTTTACTATGGACTCTTGAATAGATCAATCAGAAAGGATAACTTTGAGGTGGTTTCGTACCCTACAATAATCTCTTCATTTGTTCTCCGCTATTAGTGACTTCAGAGTGACTCTTTGTTGCATGTTGAGAGATTGTTATATGATCCAATTATGTTATTATTGTTGAGAGAACTTGCACTAGTGAAAGTATGAACCTTAGGCCTTGTTTCCTAGCATTGCAATACCGTTTACGCTCACTTTTACCACTTGCTACCTTGCTGTTTTTATAATTTTAGATTACAAAATCCTATATCTACTATCCATATTGCACTTGTATCACCATCTTTTCGTCGAACTAGTGCACCTATACAATTTACCATTGTATTGGGTGTGTTGGGGACACAAGAGACTCTTTGTTATTTGGTTGCAGGGTAGCTTGAGAGAGGCCATCTTCATCTTACGCCTCCCACGGATTGATAAACCTTAGGTCATCCACTTGAGGGAAATTTGCTACTGTCCTACAAACCTTTGCACTTGGAGGCCCAACAACATCTACAAGAAGGTTGCGTAGTAGACATCACATGCCACTTCAGAGACGTGCGTTGCATGTGCACGCTTACTAGTTAGTCACAAACCAAACAACCTCATAATTTTGGTTACGGGAAAGATAACACCTATTTAAACAACAAACCTTCTTGCCCCAAAAAAGAAATGCAACACATGGTGCATATACTTTTGGTGTATTTTTGTTACGGGCGTCACTTTCTCGTTTCCGGTGAGTCTAGCTGGGTTGGGCCTGGATAGGTGAATACAGGGTAAAAACCGAGTGCGGCGTTTCTGCTCCCGAGCTCATCTGCACCCCCAACGAAAGAAATCAAAATAAATACTAAAAAAATTCAAAAAATTCCATTTTTTGTGGTAGACAAGTTTATGCGCGAGGTGCCCTCCAAGTTTCATCTCATTTGAACATCTGAGCAACTCTCACCAAAAAAGACAAATTCAGGGTCTGTAAAAAAGTTTATTGTTCACATACTGTTCTGACCCGATTTGTTTTTTTGCTGAGAGCTGCTCAGATGTCCAAATAAGTTGAAACTTGGAGCAAACCTCACGCATAAAATTTTCTATCACACAAAAAAAATGTTTTTTTGAATGTTTTTAGTATTTATTATAGATTTTTTTTCTGATCAGGTGCAGATGAGCCTGGGCACCGAATTGGGTTTTCGGTAAAAACCACGTTATGCGGATTGTTTGGTTACTTGCATCCTCCTCAGCCATGCTGAGAAGAAACAAACACATGATTGTTTGGTCACCAGCATTTTCTCCTCAGATGCAACATGCTGTAGTTTGGTTGCCAATGCACAAATGATTAACCTCGCCTCTTATTCACGTGGTGAACTTACATGAGTAGAAACATGGTGCTGAAGCAAGAAGAGAAGACCAGTTGGAGGTAGAAGAAGGTGTGGCAGCACTCGGATGCTCATCCAACGGTCACGAAACCGACTGGATGTGAATCATTTTCCAGCCCACTGACACGCAGGTGTGAAAGTATGTACATCCATTAGGGAGACGTAGATCTACCCGTCTACGACCGTTAAACGGAAAACGTTCGATAGAGAAGTTGTGTAAAACGGTGAGATGAAGCTGGTGGTCAAAGGAAATTTCAAATGGTCTACCGGGTGCGAAGATTTTGCCAAAATACATTGGTTTTCATAACATGTTCACATGAACACGTTAGTGTGGTATAATAGGAGATGTAGATCTACTCGTCCATGATCATCGAAACATAAACGTGCAACACGAAAATCGTGTGAAATAGCAAGATGAACCTAGTGGTCAAAGGGAATTTCAAACGCTCGACTGGGTGCGAAGATTTTGCCAAAATTCATCAATTTTCATAACATGCCAACATGAAACGTTTGTGCGTGGTATAACATGAGATGTAGATCTACTCGTCCATGATCGTCTAAACATAAAACGTGCAACATGAAAGTCATGTGAAACAGCGAGATGAAGCTAGTGGTCAAAGAAAATTTCAAACGGTCAACTGGGTGCGAAGATTTTGCCGATTTTTCTCTCTAAAATCTCCAAACATTAGCATGAAATTCAAGATATACAATTCAAGAAATTAGAAACCGGTCATCTGGACGGAACAACATCATTAATGTGCATCTATTTTTTTGTAGATCTTATTTCGAATTGAAGTGTCGTTGTGTAGCTTAGAAGGTATCATGTGAAAGTGATTAGGGAGGTGCTGCATCGTCGGGCCTGGCTCATGCTTGATTCGAGCATTCCTCCGTAGCCACGCCCAGAGATGCTTTGAGCAGCGTGCGGTGCAAGCCCAATAATGTTTGCTCACAACCAAACAGGTCGAAAACAAAAAAAAGTTGCATCTAGCGGGTATGTATGGACTTGAGCAGATAGCCAAACACGCCCTTTTATGTTTTAGCGTAAAACAATTTTACTATCTTGCGGAACCCTTGTACAGGAGCACGAAACAACCCCAAACCAACAGAAAAAGAACCACATGACACATAAGTTAGCTAAAGTTGGTTTAGGTGATAATTTATGTAAGGTTTGGTTTTATGTACCCCCAGAGTATATATTTGGAGATCCTCTCGAATGACATCCCTAGCTTCGTTTAAGTAATAGAGTGGCGGCATTGATCCTAAAAAAAAGCAATCCAAACAATGAAAAAAACAGAAAAAAAGTTATAGCTTATGCAAATCAGTATTCAACTTCTATGGCCCTTGAGCACACACTGCCCTGATTTACACATATTCGACTTTGGGGTCCTATTTGAGACGGATAAACCCAAAAATCTACAAACACTTGCAGGATCCATATAGTTCCTGTGTTATTTTCCGCCTAAAGCATCACTTATAGAATTCCAACGTTGTGAGATTCTGAATTAATCTATAGTAGGCGATATTTCATTATAGTGTTTTATTCCTTTTATGTTTTCGAATTACCAGATGCAAATCAGTGCACACATGTTCTTCAGAATGAAAAAAGGGAAAAAACATTTCGTGCACTTCTTTTTTGAGAAAAACATTTCATGAACTTTTATCGGAAGAAAAATGTCCTTATGGGCCGGCTTTCCCGGCCGTAGAGCTACTTGTTTGTGTCACCTATGGTTCCCAGGCCGAGCAGCACCGTGCCGGCGTGCCCGGCCGGTCTATCTTTTGGCAACTGAAGAATTACACTACTACCCACTTTTCCTCTCCATTTTAGTCTAAAAAAAAGACACCGCTAACACCCACACATGTGGTAGAAATTAAATTCGTCCACACGTCTTACAGCACATAGACTACGCCATGTCACCGCATACATGCATGTGAAAATCTTTTTGAATTTTCTGTTTTTAAAATGTTTTTATCTCTTAAATGAAAAATTGGACTGAAGATCCGTTTTCATCATAAAATCCCTCGCGACGAGATCTTCGAAACTAGATCTCGTATCAATATATTTCGATGAATTTTATTTTGGGGTTAAAAGTTGCCGTGTCTATTGCACATGAATTGCCATGATATTTTGCACTGAAGTTGCCATGATATGTTTCAGCTATTTTCTTCTACATTTAAAAGTAAATTTTGACATATTATAAAACAAGGAATTAAGAAACTAGACTTGTCATACACCATAAATTAAAATTGCCATGATACATGCACTTAAAATTGCCACGGTTCACACAAAAAAAGAATTCATGGTCAAAGTACTGGAATTGCCATTATCGAAAAACTAAAATTGTCATGATTTACAAACTAAAATTGCCACATGGCAACTTTAGTTTAAGCACTATGACAACTACAGTGTAAACATCATAACAATTTTTGGATAATTTTTTTTTCGTCGAAACATATCAACATGGGGTCTAGTTTTGAAGATCTCGTCGATACGGATGTAATGGTGAAAACAGATTTTAATTCACTTTTTTAATTAGGAGATAAAACATTTTTAAGCTGAAAACCTAAAAAAATTCTGCTGATGTCATCTGTTCATATGTGGCAAATTGAGTGATGATGAAGACGTGTGGGCAATGTGCAAGCTCCCACATTTGTGGCCGTTAGTTTTTTCGGAAAAGAAAGGAAAAAAAAAGGGCCGTGCGGCGTGCGTTGCGACTACGCCGGCTTTTCCCTTTCTTCCCAGGTCGCCGAGTCAACATCCGTCACCGGCGGCAGAACCACCCTGCGCACCTACCCCCGTTCCCCCGAAACCCAGCTACCCAGGCTTTCCCTCTGCGAGCCCCCTGAGCCCTAAGCTCCAGCGAGGCCCCATGGCGGCGCAGGGGATCGCGGACGCCGTGCAGGCTTACACCGGCCTCTCGCCCGCGGCCGCCTTCACCGTGCTGGCTCTCATGCTCGCCACCTACCTCATCGTCTCCACCCTCTTCGTCGCCCCAGACGCCGCCGCTTCGGCACCGGCGGCTCATCCCAAGCCGCCTCAGCAGCAGGAGCAGGGGACGGAGGCGGAGGCGGAGCCGGAGCCGTTCGTGCCGCCGTTTCCGGACCCTGTGCAGGTGGGCGAGATCACGCTGGAGCAGCTCAGGGCCTATGACGGCAAGGATACCGCCAAGTCCATCCTCATCGCCATCCGCGGTCAGGTCTACGACGTCTCGCGCGGGAGGTGAGGGTTATATTGTGTTCTAGTACCATTGTGCTGTGTTTTGGTCAGGGTTCAGTGTGAACAGATACGCGCATGAGCTGAGTTTAACATTGTAAATCATTCCAACCTTGAGTAACTAGACTAGAATATTTAAGATTATCAGTTAGAAGCAGTTCTACTATAAACAAAGCACGTTAATATGGAGTGGTAAAGAGCTGATCTAAGTTAGGAACAGATAAAAGCAAGATACCTAATGTGTGCTAGTAGCTGTAGGCAATTATCACAATGGTGACGTGGATAGTCCATTGAATTCTATTTGATTGAGATATGAGGGCCTGGATCTTTTTAGGTTGTTGATGTTATATTCCTAACGTAGGAGTCTCTTGCTGCCCTTCAATTGGTAGAGTGCAAAATGGTGAACTTCACACATGTAATGAGGATTTGAGCAATCCAATATGGTTCTATGGATTTGCTTCTTCTCAATAGATTTTGTTGTCACGGTGTTGCTAGACATTTGGTTATTCTTTAATGCTTAGACCGGGAGTTTAAGATGTACCTTGTGCATCTAAGCACCTGAGTATTTGATCAACTGGACTACAGTCAACGGACATAATAGACAATATTCAGTAGTCTTCAATGGCGGAGAATGGAACTTTATTGAGGTGGGGCAAACTCTTAACCCAAAATAAAAATAAAAATTGATGCAAAACCAACATAGATATAGAATTGCTTTGCATTATATTTTTCGTAGCAAACTTTTCATCTGCACGCTCTTCTTTGAAAGAATCCTTTATTTAATTTTATAAGGCAATCAAATAAACTAAAATCTTTTAGGATTCGAGTAGACGTGGCATTGTAATCCTATAGTTTATTTTCTTCTACTCCGGAGTTTTTTAAAAATTTAAAATCCTGCGGATGAAAGAAGCCCTTAGCAATTTGATACTCAGCACACCGATCTTTAGGCATTTATTAACTAACGGTTCAGAGAAGATTCACGGGAACACAACATGGGAGCCACTTGAGAAAGTTTATCCCGAAAACGAAGAACATCAGCGAGAGCCTGATACGCGCTGAACTCGCTCATCAGTCACCACGCCAGGTACAAAAACACCAAGGTTAGTGTGCACATGTCTAAAGATCATCAGTCACCACTATAGGAGTCTCTTGCTGCCCTTCAATTGGTGGAGTGCAAAATGGTGAACTTCACACATGTAATGAGGATTTGAGCAATCCAATATGGTTCTATGGATTTGCTTCTTCTCAATAGATTTTGTTGTCACGGTGTTGCTAGACATTTGTTTATTCTTGAATGCTTAGACCGGGAGCTTAAGATGTACCTTGTGCATCTAAGCTCCTGAGTATTTGATCAACTGGACTATAGTCAATGGACATGCTAGACAATATTCAGTAGTCTTTAGTGGCGGAGAATGGAACCTTTTTGAGGTGGGGCGAACTCTTAAACTAAATATAAAATAAAATTGGTGCAAAACCAACATAGATATAGAATTGCTTTGCATTATATTTTTCGTAGCAAAATTTTCATCTGCATGCTCTTGTTTGAAAGAATGCTTTATTTTATTTTATAAGGCAATCGAATAAACCAAAATCTTTTAGGATTCGAATAGACGTGGCATTGCAATCCTATAGTTTATTTTCTTCTACTCCGGTGTTTTTTAAAAATCCTGCGGATGAAAGAAGCCCTTAGCAATTTGATACTCAGCACACCGATCTTTAGGCATTTGCTCCCTCCGTCTCAAAATAAGTGTCATGTGGGGCCAGCCCTATAGGTGCAAGGGACCTGCGCGGGCCGGCCCTGCACCTGCCTAAAAATATGTCCTAGTTTAATTATAGTTTTTTTAGATTAGGAGTCTGGGTATTAGTCGGAAAGGTTTAGTCCCGTAGAAGGTTACCCTGCCAACACCCAATTGTAATAGGAGTCTGTAATCTGGTCTTGTAATTAGGCTATATATAGCCAGCCCTTGGATCAATAAACGCAAGCAAAAAATAACCTACAACCTCACCTCCTTGCTCCTGCGCCACGGCGCCCCTCCTCAACCCCCTTCTCCAACCATAGGCCGGCGAGGGCCTCGCCCTCGTCCTCCTACAACCCACGACTACAACCTGCGCGGCAATCAGCCAGGCCATGACAACTTGGTATCAGCTTCCTCGTCGATCCCAGCGGCCATGTCTCCGCCATCGCCGCCGGCGCCCCTGCCGCAAACCCTCGCAGACCTCCACGGTGTTACAAACTTCACAGCCGGTACTGTGTATATATACATGACCTGACTCAACCGACCAAGGAAACAACTCCTACACGGACTACTACTAGACACAAGTCCTTTTCCCTGTACAAACTAGTTTTCCATCATGGACTAGTCCTCGCACAAGACATGGACACTTACCTATAGCTAACTAACTAGCGTAGTCCAAACCGGACTGCTAATCACACGGCAACCTAGACTTGCGGCTAACTCAAGATTATTCCTAACAATCTCTCCCTAATCTTGACACACTTTTTCTTCCGTGCTTCTCCGGTCTTGGCTTGTTGATGATTCACCCCTTGTCGACTCATCCGCTCGCACCACAACAAGTCAAATTGCCGGCTAGATTGTTGCCAACATTCTCTCCCCAATTTTGACTTGCCGAATTTATGGATCACCTCAAATATGCCTTGGACTACCCAGCCTCGCTAGTAACCTGTGGAAAACACCACCCGGTGGACTACACCATCCACCCTAGCGAGATACATGCCGACCCCTTGTGGATCACAGCACCCCGTGCACTACACCATGCACTCCAGCCTCATGTAGAGACATGGCCTCATTGAAGAGACTCACCTTCACTGGTTTACCGCCCCCACATAGTTGAACTTGATCCTCTCGTCGAGACACACAGACGACCTGGGCTTCATCTCCAACGCCTCCTCACAGAGACGAGCACTTGGACATGACGACGACTGACCGATCGTGCTAACCCGCACGACTCCTTGACTCTAACTCCTGCGGACGACGATCTTGACGACTTTCCGGCACCGCACCTCGGCACCACTGCTCCCGTCAACGATCTTCTTCCACCGCCTTGCTGACGACAGCCTGTCGCCTCCCTCCATGTCGCTCCGACGAACGACGATCGCATGATCCTCCTTGGCGCTGCAGCACCCAGCGACAACATCGCCCGCCCCGAGGCGCTAGTCAGGTCGCCACCCCGGGGCAAGCGCGGCTTCAAATCGACCTAGCTCTGATACCAATTGTTGGAACTCGCCCACAGGATCGATCACATCAAATCACGATGAACACGCACACGCAAAAACTTTTGCCAAAGGCACGTGTCGTGCCTCTCTTTTTCTCCTTTTATTTCTCCTTTTCTCACGATCTGATATTACATGACTCCTATACCCGCATATTTATATGCGTGAAGCTGGACAATCAGCCGGTACAAACCGACTCTGTATTAGACTACCTAATATAATCCTAGCCGGACTCATGACATGCCATGCAAGTCACGGCAAGTATACTAATCCTAACCGGATACTACAACTCACTGTTAGCACACCAGGACACCTAATCTAACTAGACAGAACTAGTTCTAGCTCTCCTCACGCGACTAGCTAGCTTAGGACCCAAACTTTTACATAAATCAAATGACTAATCAAGATTACTCTAACAATTAGAATCTGGTGAGTTAGGACAGCCTTGGGCTCTCGTTGATGGTGTTGTTACCTTCCAACAACGGGCTTATGTGCCACCCGCGTCGCCGCTGCTCGGGGAGGTCCTGGCTGCAGCCCATGATGCGGGCCATGAAGGTATCCAGAAGTCACTTCATCGTCTTCGCCGGGATTTCCATCTGCCGCAAGCAAGGGCAGCACTTCAGCAGTATATTCGTGCTTGTCAGGTTTGTCAACGCAACAAGACAGAGCAGCTTCATCCAGCCGGCTTATTGCAGCCCTTGACAGTGTCATCTCGTGTCTGGGAAGACATCTCCATGGATTTCATTGAGGCACTTCCGAAGGTGGGCGGCAAAAGTGTGATACTGACCGTCGTGGACCGTTTCTCCAAGTATGCGTATTTCATCCCCTTGGCGCATCCGTACACTGCGGAGTCCGTTGCTAAGGCCTTCTTCTCCAACATTGTCCGACTTCATGGGTTTCCCACATCCATCGTTTTGGACAGGTATGTGGTTTTCATTTCGGGCTTTTGGAAGGCTCTGTTTGCCGCCGCGGGGACGCGCTTGCACATGAGTTCAGCCTTCCATCCACAGTCTGATGGACAATCTGAGGCCGTCAATCGTGTCATCACCATGTACCTTCGTTGCATAACTGGGGATCGCCCCGGGCAGTGGCTCCAATGGTTGCCTTGGGCGGAATACTGCTACAACACTTCGTACCACTCAGCGTTGAAGGACACTCCTTTCAGGGTGGTTTATGGACGGGATCCCCCCTCATTGCGGGACTATACGCCGGGCGAGATTCGCAATCAGGCGGTGGAACGGCAGATCGTCGACCACGATCAGTTCTTACTCGACATCCGTGAGCGTCTCCTTCAGGCAGCACAACAGTACAAGCATTACTATGATGATAAGCATCGGGCCCTTTCTTTTGAAGTTGGAGAGTGGGTTTGGCTCCGTCTTCAGCACCGGCCGGCGGCATTCCTTGTAGGCGCCAAAGGGAAATTGGCTCCCAAATATTATGGGCCTTTCAAAGTCCTCGCTAAAATCGATACGGTTGCTTACCGTTTGGAGCTGCCCCCACGCGCCCGCATTCACAATGTCTTCCATGTCGGGGTCCTGAAGAAGTACCATGGTCCACCGCCGGAAGTTCCGCTGATGCTTCCACCTCTGTTTCAGGGTCGAGTACATCCAACCCCTGTCCAAGCATTGCGTGCTCGTATTGCTCGCGGTGTCCAGCAGGTGCTCATTCACTGGGAGGGCCAGCCGGCGTCTGCTGCTTCATGGGAGGATGTTACAACCTTCCGCGAACGTTATCCAAGCTTCCAGCTCGAGGACGAGCTGTTTCAGAATGGAGGGGGAGATGTCATGTGGGGCCAGCCCTATAGGCGCAAGGGACCTGCGCGGGCCGGCCCTGCACCTGCCTAAAAATATGTCCTAGTTTAATTATAGTTTTTTTAGATTAGGAGTCTGGGTATTAGTTGGAAAGGTTTAGTCCCGTAGAAGGTTACCCTGCCAACACCCAATTGTAATAGGAGTCTGTAATCTGGTCTTGTAATTAGGCTATATATAGCCAGCCCTTGGATCAATAAACGCAAGCAGAAAATAACCTACAACCTCACCTCCTTGCTCCTGCGCCACGGCGCCCCTCCTCAACCCCCTTCTCCAACCATAGGCCGGCGAGGGCCTCGCCCTCGTCCTCCTACAACCCACGACTACAACCTACGCGGCAATCAGCCAGGCCGTGACAATAAGTGACTCAACTTTTTACTAAAGTTAGTACAAAGTTGAGTCACTTATTTTGAGACGGAGGGAGTATTAACTAACGGTTCAGAGAAGATTCATGGGAACACTAAACACGGGAGCCGCTCGAGAACGTTATCCTAAAAACGAAGAACATCAGCGAGAGCCTGATACGTGCTGAACTCGCTCATTAGTCACCACGCCTAGGTACAAAAACACCAAGGTTAGTGTCCACGTGTCAGTCGTGCGTGCGTGGTGTCGACTCTGGCTCGAGCGAGGTTTCTGGAGCCTGGCGTTGTGTCGTGTGTGGCCTGCATGCGATTGGATCAAGCCGTGACTGGATCGAGCAAAGGCACCAGTCCGTGACGGCCCAATCAGGTGTCTAGGATTCACGGCCCAGTAAAAGGTTTCACCGTGACATTTAGCGATCAACTCGATATTTAGCGATCCGCTGATTGTATACGTATATACCTATTAAAAAATCCCAGAAATCAAGGTAGGGCGAGTGCCCCACCTCGCCATACCGCGTCCTCCGCCCGTGGTAGTCTGTACTCTCAGCTCTCACTCACTTTTCTACATGGGTTATGGTGGCAGTCTCATGTCGATTTTAGCTACAACAACAGGTTAACTGACTCCAGCGACAGTATTCAAGGTGTTCGTTCGTTAACACTGTAAATTTAATATCTCCAATAATCAAATGGAACTCTTAGAATGTAACTAAAATACAATGAATGTTTCGTCCTTAAACTACCCTTAAATGCAGAAAAGAGAGAGGTTTCAAGTAGACTGTCAAATAATAGAACATGTTGTGCTTAAAATTTTCTCTTTGAACCACTTCTGGGAGCTTTGAAGCTGTACTCCATTTTTCACGAAGACTATCCATTGGTATAATGATTTGATGGGGTGAAGTTTCCATTTGCAATCTGGCCAGGTGTTCATTTACAGTGTGTTAATATTAGGAAAATAACTACAACAAGTTTTGAGAACTGTTGGTTAAAACGTTATCATATTTATTGTGGACTGTATTTTAACTCTGCACCACTTTTTATACTATAGGCTCTGTGTATTTAATGTGATGTAGCACTTACTTCCTCTGTAAAGAAATAGTATATAGTGATCTAAAAGATCTTAGTATATTTCTTTACAGAGGGAATACTTCTTATCTCTAGTTTCTTCATTTCTTATAGTGCCAATGTTGTGTTGTTTGTATCCACCTTATTTCTTCAGAAGCACATGATTGTTGTCTTACTGATCATAATTATCATGTGCCATCTCTCCTTGTTTTGCTCCACGTTTGTCTGTGAGATATTCTAGTTGGTGAAATCATTTGGTACTGTAGTTTATTGTGGCATTGTTTGTCCCGATGTCTGCAATTAGCAGTACACTTGTACATGGCTAGTGTCGGTTACCCTTGAAGTCATTGTTTTGTTTAACTATTATTCATCCTACGAGTCTGCTGTTTCAGCAGACAGCAAGCATATTCGTATTCATTGCTGAGACTGTCTTGACTCTAGAGTTTCAAATATAAGTACCGCCAAGAAATTAGGTATATAGGTCTGAATCCTTGATCCAATCTTGTGCAAGGGGTGTCTTGTGGATCTGAGTTTCAAATATAAGCTCGGTACTTGTGCACTGTATTGGATGTTAATATTAGGTTGAACATGCTGTCCACATCTGCATGAGAAATCGAAACTGAGTTTGTTTGTCACAAATAAGATATCTGTGTAGATGTATAATTCCATCTGACGACCACCATACAACTTGTAATGTCCTTGAGGTAGTTCTGGAAGTGGTAGGATCTTTCTTGTGTCATGGTGTGTATACAATGCTTTTTCTTGTGTCATGGAAGAGGTAGTTCTGGAAGTGGTAGGATCTTTCTTGTGTCATGGTGTGTATACAATGCAGACTGTTGATCATTCATGACTCTGTTGTCTGCTTTTTCTTGACCTCAGGCTGTTTTATGGACCTCAAGGACCATACTCCTTGTTTGCTGGGAGGGATGCATCTCGGGCCCTGGCATTGATGTCATTTGACCTTAATGACCTGACTGGAGACTTGGAAGGCCTGAGTCCAGACGAACTGGAGGTTTTACAAGACTGGGAAGAGAAGTTTAAAGAGAGGTACCCTGTGGTGGGTCATCTTCCTTGTGAGAAGGCAACAGCTGGTGCTCAGCCTGATCACGAGGAAGAGAAGGCCTAACTCTGTGTCTGGGTTCTTGTCTCGTTGCCTGTAAGTTCATGTCTCTTTTACTACTGGACTGTGAGCGGTAGAGAGATCTAATGCGCTGACAGGTGATGTTGTTTGTATGTATGTGTGCTGCATGAGTGTGTGTTACTGATGCACCTGCTTTACCACTGAATACTTTGGTTGGTGTGTGTAGTGAGTGGATAAGTGGGGGAATTTTGAGTGACAGAGAGACCTTGACGCTGAAAGGCCGTCCGTCCTTTGATGTGTATGCTCTCCTTTGCATTCGTGCCATAATCCAATTCATCATCGTATCGTATTGTATCTAAACGGCGATTTTGCTGGCAATTTAAGGGCCATGATTTTGCCTGCTCCGATTCTTCTAGCATTGTCGGGAAACAGCATCGGCATCATTTCCACTCCACCCATCATCAGATTCTTCGTCTAGTGTCTGCCATATTTTGCGTCTGCTCTACCCTAGCATTGGAATCTCGATGGACCCAGAGAGAAAAGAGTCGGCATGTCGCAGCGCTCTGCACCCGCTGCCACTGTTGTCTGGTCCTTTTTCATGCGACGGGGCCCCAATTATACGGAGAGCCACGGGGTTATCGCCGCGGCGACGCAGTACGTGTCCGCTCTCGTGGTCGCAGCGGCAAATAATCGTGTTATCCGACTCCGAGGGAGGCCAGGCAGCAGGGCGGAGCAGAGCACATCCCTCCTCACATGGGGTGTCTGTCGACTGGTGGCACGTACGCTACGTGTAACAGGGGAGGGCAACGCAACGTTATCTATCCTTGGAGTTGGCGCGTCATGCATGTGATGTGAAGGCAGGGGCGATGGAGCCCTCTCCTCCTCCATAATCTCGCCGCTGTGCTAGCCGTGCCGTGTCTGCTCGTGCTCCTCCCTCTCTTTCTTCCCTCTCGATCTCGAAACGGCGGGCAGAAGCGGCGGGCTCCGGAGATATACGCCCAACTGTTTCCTGTCTTTCGCACGCCGACCTACCAGCCGTGCTCCTAGATATTTTCTCGTCTCTCGCTTCGTCGCAGATTTGGATTCGGTGATAGCAGAGCAGATCCAAGATCGAACCCAACGTGTAGCTGGGAGGAGGGACCTGTTCAGTTTTTCTTTCTTGCCGTTGCCGTGTTTGCCACAAATGTGAGGGGCCTGCTTTTCATTGTTGCTGCAAAATGCTGGAGCGCTAGCTCGTGGATATAAATGCAAGAGTTATTATTGCATGCATGGCCCCCCTGCCCTTCATTCTTGTGGCTCATGCTACCACTACCACAGCACAATATGGCGCTAGCTGGTTCACATAAGGGGATGATGCATGCATGCCCCTCGGAGGTTCATTTCCTTGTCCGGATCTACTACCTGGTAAGTATATGTCGACCCCAAACGTGTTTCATTCACGATTTGCTACAGCTGCGCAAGTGACATCTTTACAGGAGCACCGAACATGTCTGGCGCTCGCGGTAGGCTTCGGGAACTGATCTGCGCAAGTGATCCCTGCATTGGCAGCACTTCACCTCCATCGATTCTGGCCTTGATTTAATGTTCAGTCCCCAACTTCAAAATCGTGTCAAATGTCCTCCTCTAAACACTAGATTTTATCTTTTTTTCTAAATGTTTGCCCCTCAAGATTATTCCATTGATAACTGAAATCCGGCAATTCTAATGTTCAGCATTTGTCGAATATTGGCACCTAATTGATTGGTTACCAAATGGTATAGCCAACCTCACATCAAGATCAAATTATCAATGTTCGGCTTTGTCAGTTTTTCGCTTGGCAACAAATTGGGTAGCCAATTTTTAGTTTGAACCATTTAGAGTTGCATATGTTCATCAGATAGAAAGAAGAGTACGCCATCAAACATAGCACAACGCTGACGAACGACGTTCACAGAATACTAGCAATCCAATCATGAACAAGTAAGAATCACAAACATGCAGGAAAGCATACACCATACACCAAAGGAACTAGTTAAAAATTGGTAGCAAACCAAGCTTGCCCTTATCCTGAAGTTGTCATGGCCTATAAACACGGTCAAATATCTAATTCTACCATGCTCCTAGTTTTTTTGCGAGGTACCGTGCTCCTAGGTTTTCTTTTTGTGAGGTACCATGCTCCTAGGTTGCTCATAAGTCATGACAATTTAACAAATATAGCTAGTGTTTTAAGCGAAAAATTATCTCTTTGAGTAGAGCTTCTTTTTCTCCCCGATACATGAGTCTAAGCACCAGAAAATAGAGAAATTGTGTGTGTAAAAGAGAAGGTCAAAGTGTGACCATGCCTTCTTTGGCCCCCGGTATTGAGCTTCGGGGTGAAAGCCTAAGGCCTGGCCCGAGTGGGTTATACCTGCCAATGGTGTTGTTTTTGCATCGTTGCCTTGTTAAAGTCATTGTTCGGATATGCTCGTACTTGTTCTTCAAGGTGAAACACTAGAATCTGGCCCTGCTGGTTGGATCTGGTTATGATGACTCTTGACCATTGTTCCCTTACTAAAGGCAATGTTGTTGTAGAACATGGTTGCCATTGTGTAGTCAAGATATGGTTGGTGTGGATAGGATCATTGTTGCCGTTTGTAGATCACTGTTTCGACCGCTTTCGGGATTTATCTTTTTTTCTCGCTTAGGCATAGATTTTGTCTTGTATGACTTTACTCTTTTTTTCTCAGTGTGATTTTTGTGTGTGCGCGTTGGCATTGTGTGCATCCTAACTGTGCAGTGGTCAAGTATGTGCTCATTGTGTTTGTATCCACTTGATGCTTCATTTTGAGTCAATAAAATTCACTCTTTGTCAAAAAAGATAACTTAGAGGCATGCATGGCTAAAACAACTTGACTTAAAGGCATGAAAGCTAGATAATAGACTATGCTAGAATGTAAGTAAACTTATCTAACATACAAACGGATACAATTCAGAACAACGAGACTGAGTACAAAGCTAAGTATTGAGCTAAGCAGCATAAAAAGAAAGTACTCAACAAAGTCTTTGTAACAATCACAGAGAAAGAAGGAAGGGGAAGTTCTTCGAAACACAGATGTTGGTGTGAAATCTGACAGACCCCTCTATAGGGTGTCACGACCAGCTGGAAAGCCCAAAGCGGAAACAAGAGATAGATTTTACCCAGGTTCGGGCCCTCTCTCTAGAGGTAAACCCTACTCCTTGTCGTGCTGTATTGGATTGATGGGGTGTACAAGGTACATAGATGATCCCTAGGATCATATGTGTATCGGGGGATTGAATGTAAGGTACCTATCGGCTAGCTTGGCCTTGGTTTATGAATGGTACCGATGCCTAGGGTTACACGGGACCTAGTTGACTAAGGAGGTTAGAAATCCCTCTTGGATCCCCTCTCTTCTTGTCTTGGTCGTCAAGATGTCGAATCCTTCCTTCTAGAGAGCACATAAGTTGGGTTGGTGGTCAAAGCCATGCAATGGCCTTGGGGGCCTCGAACCGGCCTGCACTAGTAGAAAATGGAGCTTTAAAACCGGTTTGTAAGGGCCTTTAGTGCCGGTTATGGAACCGGCACTAAAGTGTGGGCACTAAAGCCCCCCCCCCCTTTAGTACCGGTTCGGCACGAACCGGCGGTAAAGTGCCACCACGTGGCGTGAGCTCACGCCCTGGTATGGGGGACCTTTAGTACCGGTTGGTGTTACCAACCGGTACTAAAGGTTTTTTTTTGATTTTTTTTTGAAAATTTTGGAAAAAAATTGATTTTTTTCGATTTTTAATTTTTCAGAATTATTTGATAATTTAGTCTCTAATCACCTCTCTTAACCGCTCAAGTGTGGATCACTCATTCCAAATCATCTAACTTCCCGACCAGTCACCCATCCCGAGCACGCTTAACTTTCGGGTTCTATTCTCCTTCGTTTCCAAGTCAGCACTTGTTGTTTTCCTGATAATAGTAATATGTTAATCCTATTAACCCTCAGGAGTTTAGCTTGAGCATGAAGTCACACATTTCACCGTTTGAGTTTGAAACTATTATTCTAAAAAAATAGTAATTATTTAGTAACGCTAATATTTTTTGAATAAGTTTGACCATAGTTTGACCATAGTTTGACCAAAATTCAAAAAATTGAAATAATTATTTAGTAACACTAATATTCTTGAATAATTATGTAGTAACATTAATACTTCTTGAATAAGTAGTTTGACCAGATTTAACCAATTTTTTTTAGAAAAACTAAAATTTGACCATGTCTTTTTTTCCTTTTGGAATTTGAGGATTCTAAAAAATTCCAAACAGGCCATAGGCGGTCTCCATCGGATGTGGATTTTTGTGCTGAATTTTTTGATATATTATACATTTTTTTCCGACATCGTATGCAAAAGTTATAGCCATTTTACATTTTCCCTACACTTTTTGCAAAACATGTCCAAATTTAATTTTTCAAATTTTCCTAACTAGTAGATGTAGTAATATAACTACCTCTCGAAAGATTTTATTTTCTGAAGTTTTTATTAATTTTTTTTTTTTCAAAACTGAAATGACGATACACCGGGGAGGGGGGGGTAGAGTTTGAAAATTGCCATATAGTGCCGGTTTGTGTCTTCAACCGGGACTATAGGTTAAGACTCTGTAGTGCCGGTTGGTGACGCAAACCGGTACTATAGGTTAGACCTTTAGTACCGGTTTGTGTCACAAACCGTCACTAAAGGGGCTCGTGGGGCCCTGGCCTGACGCCAGCCTGCCACCACCCCTTTAGTACCGGTTCGTGGCACGAACCGGTACTAAAGGTTCATTACGAACCGGCATTAATGCATAGCCATTCGAACCGGCACTATTGATCACATTAGTGCTGGTTTTTTACAAACCGGCACTAATGTGCTTCACGTTTGACCCTTTTTCTACTAGTGCTGGTAGGCCGACTTCCAGTGGCATGAGGCACCCTTGGGCCGTAACACCGTCAACATACGAATTATAGTTAGTAAAGGGATGTGAATAAATAGTGCAATGTGTTTACTCTAGTTCAAACTATTGGCGTAGTTCTACGTCTGGGTTGGAG